TATTATTATTATTGTTATAAGTCCTTAAAGTCTTGCCGCTTTTAACTTATGGTGCCGAGTTCAATCCGTGAGCCTAGGGCAGTCATAAGTCTGCTGGTTTACTTGATGCATAGAGTCCTCCTAAGTATGTGAGCAGTTCCAAGGAGGACGGTCTTCTGTAGCTCTGTTATTCTAATATTGCCTGGGATCTTGCCGATGTAGTTTTCTGTTCCCTTCTTGACAAGCCCGAAAGCTCCAATGTTATTATTACTACTGATATTATTATTATTATTATTATTATTATTATTATTATTATTGTTGTTGTTGTTATTATTATTATGATTATGATTATGATTATTATTATTATTTTAATTTAGCTCCATTTTTTAAGACGTGAGTCAATGTGATCTGGCTATGGGATTTCGCGAACTTGACAGTCTCTGAAGTTCAATCAGTAAACGTTTTAGTATTTGTTCAGGAGCCTTATTTATTCGGCTTCGTTTGTCTGGAGATTCTTTTTCTTTGTTGATCAAGTACTGGATTCTGAGTTGATAAAAGGAAAGCTTTTTTTCCGAAACAAAGAAGTAAGGAATGCCAACATGGCCTGTCAACAGCGGAATAATCATAGTGGCCATACCAGTAAGCGGCGAGAAACAACAAATCGAGAATGCCATACCAGCACAGCATTTGTTTATTCTACTTACAATTGTAAATTGCATTAGTCAAATTAAAACAATCTACTGTTTTTGTCGCTTTTTTCTCTCTCCTTCTATCTCTTTGTTTGTTCTTTTCATCACGTGAGATATTTTTGCTTTCATTTTTGTAGCAGGCCTGTATCTGGCGTGTAAAGGCGGCATCAGACATACCAACTGACGTCAATGGCTTCAATGATCATACACGTGGAAAGTCCAATATAACAACTAGGAAACTAATATCAACCGTCAAATAATGACCTTGGCTCCGCGTACCAGAAGTGAAGCAAATCGAGACGGAAGTTTCGGCTGTGCGCAAATGTCACGAATTTCCCTTGCGGGGGTTGTCATTAGAAATACCAGCGCAACCTCAAGAACTGCGCTAATTAAGCTTTATATTCAGTGATGTGCTCATTTTGACAATTTCAATGAGAAGCTGGATTATTAATTGGCCATTAAAAGCAAACCCTCAGGCTGTTGGGTTGGTGTAGTCAATTACGATGAGACTTCATCAACGTTCATGTAATGTGGACACCATTGTGTTTAATCTTTTGCTAGTGTAGACGAAGATTATTTATTCCGCGATAACTTTCTGTATACTTTATACCGTGGCAGCAACATAACAGATATCGGTCACCTCACCGGAGGGTCCCCATGATAAACGTCTAACTATGTAAGGCATTAGATTGGATGGTCCAAAGGAAACGCCTTTAAGCAAACTGAATGCACAAGAAAACAATCAAAGTTCTTTTAGATAATAAGCTGTAAGGCATTGCAAATACGAACAAAAGAGTAAAGAAATGCTTAACCTTGACGAAGCGTATGTCACTCGAGAGAGTCGATCACACTAGTTCTTTGCGTTTGAGCGGATAATTACACTTATCCAGGCTGCAAACTATCTTTTTCACTTTACTACAATTTAGAAGTTGAAATACCCACAAGGTAAGGTTCTTACCTATCGCTTTCCATTTCTATCCAATTTTTTTTTTTTATTTTCTTTATTAATTACCTTGTTGATGGTTACTGTGGTTTTCTAGAAACAATGCGTTCTAAACACGACGTCTTACACACAAGTCACGCCTCCTCCACTTACATGTAAATCTCTTATTCGCATACAATTAACGTCGCACTCATAATAGTAATGTGATAGTAATAACCAGTGAACATGCCAAATGAGACATCAAAGCCAGCCGCACAAAAGGCGACCTATTAAAGAATAAAAGCTATTGAACCTGAGAGGAACGAGAGTCGATTGCACTTAAGGATATTTCCAGTCCTAAAACATGCTGCAGCCGATAACATAACTTAGTTTAACAGACTTTGCAAACAAAATAATTGTAGTTTAAGTACAGCGAAGACTGAAGGGAGTGTTCAATTCACTTTTTAGCCTCATCAATGCAAACATATTTTGTACCTGGCAGAACTAGATTAATTTATAGCGTTGTAAACTATGAAGTGTTTTGTTTTTATGTGTTAGAGAATCTGTTTAATTAAGGGACTCCGATTGGAGACTTCACAGATAAGGATTTTGCTATTGATTGATCTGTGGCCATTTCCACCAACCACAACAGTTAGTGCGATGTTTGGTGAAGTTTTTGTGGTTTTTGATTACATAAAAAAAAAGATTTTTCTCCAAAGATATTCTGCAATCCGTGCACAAGAAACTTCAAAGTTTAAGTCTCTTCAAAAATAGACTACAAAGAACAAAAAGCACTTCTTGATGTTCATTAGTAAGCACCTTCAGGACAACGAAAACATCAAGGGATCTTGATCTCCTCCCAGCACAACCTAACTTTATGCATGAGTTGCTTCAGTCAATATCTAAACTCACCGACAGATTCGATAGCCTAATAATAGAACCATGAATAAGATATGACAGCTCTTTTCTCATGTAAACACTGGAGTCGTATATTTTTTACTTTAACACAATTAGGTTTCACGAAATGCTGGCCTCGCCGCCTAGGATCACCATATAAATTACTCCCCAATAGTCTTGTACATTGCATGTCTATTTTTTCTCAAAGTGATAGATTTCAGCTAAAGGTTTACAAACAGAGAAACGCACATGTTGAAGCTACCGCCTTTGTTTAGCTTAGGCGATCATGCATATCGAAAAAAATCATAAAATGCGCTTCTACGATAAAAAGTAGCGAGACGATCTTCCGGCGTTACGTGGAACAATAAGGCTTGTGTTGAATAAATTTTTTCTGTGTTGTTTGAGAGGTCATAAAGCATTTGGAATATTACAAGTTGACGGGTGGCCTCTCTCGTCCGAAATTCATATGCTAAATACTGTGAAATTATTGTTTGAAATCGCCAGTTTTCGTTCACCTGCAGCAGTATAGAAAGCGTCATCCACTCTTTGGTCTACAAACAACAACTTTCCCGTCTTAAAAGTCTTTCCTCGTGAGAATCGAGAGAGAACTTGTGAGCTTTGTACGATAGTTATCCTTTTCTTATTTTGCATCGTTTAGCAGATGTGACAACGCGAGATCATAACAACGTTCTTATTTTGCATATTGGGTGTGCTACACACAAGGTGACAACAAAGTGAGAGAAGATTTTGCATAATACACTTCCGTCAAAATATCCCCTGTTTTCAAATGACACTTTGATAGACGCAATTTGGCCGATTAGTTGTGTAGAAAAATGCAGAGTAAACCAGTAGGGTGTGTTTGTAGCGATGTTAGTTCTATTTGAATCAGGAAATAACATTCCAACCCCAAGTTTAGAGGCGTGATGGCGTTTAAAACTCTCCCAATCAACACTCTGACACATTTTTGACAAGCAGCGGCTGAAATTGACAAGACGCTGCACCTCCCGCGAATTCCAACCAATCAGCGCAAACCAAGAGCCCCACGTGTAGCAGATGTTGCTAATGAGTGGTGCATTATGGCCTGACTTGAGGTCAAAACCAAATGACGTCTATTCCGGCTTTCACTTGAAGGAAAACTAGAACGATCTAGAGGTGGTTCGAACCTCGCAACACAACCACGGCAGAATTACGGAATTATAGCTGACGGCTCTCGGAGCAACTCTTTCCTTATGCCGAGCTCACTTCTTGTCGAAATGGACCGCTCCACAAACGGGCAAATAGACGCAGATCAGAGAGCTCTGCAAATCGCCCTCGAGCTCTCCATGCTCGGTCTGACGAATGACGACGATCAAACTTCGAACGCGTTTGACGATATTCGCAATAAGAAAAGTATGAACATGACGGAGTGCGTTCCTGTACCCAGTTCTGAGCATGTAGCCGAAATAGTTGGAAGGCAGGGTAAGTTTTGGAGTCGTTGGCGAGTATGTAATCAAATTAGCTAGCTGACTTGTGGAAACCGCGTGTATTTGACGTGTTTTTGTGTTTGGTTCCATTTTCAGGTTGCAAAATCAAGGCTTTGCGAGCGAAGACGAACACTTACATCAAAACACCTGTGCGTGGTGAGGATCCTGTTTTCGTAGTAACGGGGAGAAAAGAGGATGTAGCTCTTGCAAAACGAGAAATCATTTCGGCTGCAGAACACTTCTCTCAAATTCGAGCTCAACGAAAAAATAACAGCCTGAATTCACTTGCACCTGGGCCACCAAGCCCTACAACTCCAGGACAAACTACTATCCACGTTCGCGTACCTTATAGAGTTGTTGGTCTTGTTGTGGGCCCAAAAGGAGCCACAATTAAGCGAATCCAGCAGCAAACGAACACCTACATCGTTACGCCATCCAGGGACAAGGAACCAGTGTTTGAAGTCACTGGCATGCCTGACAACGTCGAAAGTGCGCGAAAAGAAATCGACAACCATATTACTATGCGTACCGGTGGTAGAATGGATACAACCGACGATGTTTTCATCGGTGATGGATTGCAAGGCTCATTTAACGACTTTGCTCCAAGCTCTATATATTCCAGTGTGTCGTCGAGCTTCTCTGCATTTAGAGAAAGCAGCAGCTCGCTGGGATTACCTCAACGTACAAGCTCAGATTCATTCTATGGCTACCCCAGCAGCAAGAGTTCCAGTATTAACGATGGCGGCTTTAATCCGATCAACAGTCCATTTTCTGCGAACGGTTTCTTTTTCAACGATCTGCCCTCGCCGACAGATCGCGAAGTTGGATCAGAAGGGAGCTCCACCGGCTCAGGATTTGATCCTGCACCCGCACCACCATCGCCGTCTATTTGGGGGAACGTGCCGTCTACTCGATCCATGAACGAGCAAGCACCGTTTACTCGTAGTTCCAGTTTAAATAGCCAAGCTTTAAACTCGGCGATCGGCCGACCTGCAAGTCCACATAGTGCTGCGAGACGGATGAAGAGCGATCCACTGACGGGAAACTTTTCTCCACTGTCGGCGTTCACTCCTTTTACCACCCAAGTTACTGCATCCAGTGTATCATCGATTCCAGCCACTAGCTCTAATGGAACGATCAGCACAAGTGAAACAAACGTGGTAAGTACGATTGGTTTTAGCGCTACCGAAGAAGCAAATAACAACAACACAAGTCCGCTCAATAAAGATATGAAAAAGAAAGATTGCGTCATTTGTTGTGAGAGTGAAGTTGTGGCGGCGCTCGTTCCTTGTGGCCATAACTTATTTTGCATGGAGTGCGCAAACCGCATCAAAGATGAGAATAATTCGTGTCCTGTTTGCCAAAAGAATATCGACCAAGTCCTTCGTATATTTTCGTAGGAACTGAACTCGTATGAGCCGCAATATGATCATACTTTACGACGAAGTTCAGTGAATTTAAACAACGAATTGAAATGTCATGTAATGCTATAAACATTTTGAAGTAATCTATGGAGTGTATTTGAATTAATTCAGAGAGAATTTGTCTCTATGTATATTTAGTTGAAATTTTTTCAAGAATGCTTTTATTCTATACTTTTGTTAAGTGATAACGTTATGTAAAGCTAGATTTTTTGCTAATTTAAGATTAGTACAAATAAGAAAGACTAAGTTATGTAAAGATACCACATTGCTGGGTTAAAATTATCTAAAGAAATAAAAACACGCTTGGTCGTGTTTGGAGCCAACTCACTTTGAATCTTATATCAAAAATTAGTTTCTAAGTTTATAATCCGTCAGAACAAAATTATCGGAAATCAGTAAATGAAAGTACATGCTATATATGAAACATTAAAACGGGTTAGATTCCTCTACCCAGCACAAACGCATAGGTATATTTATGTGAACTATTTTATGTCATATCGATAACTTTTTTGATACAGCCTTCTAAGGAATTCTATGCTCTAAAATTATATGATATTTGTATAAATAGTCATAATTTCTATATAATATTGTGTTGCACCATAGTTCTATTTACTATTTTAATATTGCTAAGAGAAGTCGACCAAGATTATAGTTCTTCTGTATATTTAGCTGCAAATGCTCACAGAAAATCTTGGTTAAGAATTGAGAGTTTAAAGTATTTTTATTTTATGGCACTCTACATAATACTATATGGAATTATACAGAGAATAAAGTGTAAATTTTATTTTTTGCTATTAAAATTGAGTCTATAATCCGTTTTCTTGGATAAAGTGAGCTCATAGAAGTCCACAAAATTGAGAGATGTGGCAGTAAGTGTGATTGGGAAGCCTTACAATCAATGGATATTTTTTATCGTCTACGTCATTTGCTGGTAGGCTCCTGAAAGAGATTTTTGCATCGTCACGTAGTTGTATTAGAATTGTTTTAATAAAAATGGAATGAGAAGTTTTAGTAGAGCAATTCTGTCATTGATTGCGTTGACATACCTTGGCATCTTATACAAATAAACAAGCCATTGTGAGACAAAAAAGGTTACTTATAAATCTCTATAAAAGCGTCAGGAAGTTTTGTTGTGCATGAAGTACTTTGCAAGATTCAACAACGAATACGCGTGAAATATGTGTTCCTTGACATACATAAATTTAGAGTTTTGTTTATCATATATCGCCTTCCACCCTTTCGTATTTAAATTTTAATGACCTCAGTAAACACACGGAACGTGTCTTTGAAATGCTGGAAGCCATTAAGTGCTCGAATGCTCAGATTCACCTTGTGAGTTTTTCCTTTCATGCTACACAAACTCACTAATGTTGACAGAGAACATGTTTCCCCGCCTCGCTCATAAGATGCAGAAAGCGCTCCTTGGAACACCTGATTCCAATCAAAAGTGTTGCCACCTAGTTTGCAAGAGCAGAGCAGCAGGAGCAATTTCCACAATGTTCAGTTCAGCAGTCTTACAATGATGTCGTGCGTGAAATTAACACCAAACAACAATACTTTAGGAAGTGATTTCCGATTTTCGCATTTTAACCTTAGACAAAGTTTTTATTTCGTTTCCTCTTTTAAGTCTTGAAAAGATTCTTGAGAAGCAGAGTAAATGTTTTATGTGAGTTGTGTTCATCCTAAGGCCCAAGCTTTACACCGCTTCTTTGCAAACAAAAGGATTCGAAGTGGCGCCAATTATATTGACGTCACATGGGGCTCCCGATTATCATATCAACACCTCATTGGCTGTTGATGACATTAATTATTTACTGTTTACGCTGTTTTGAATGTATCAGCTGTTTTGCATAAATTGTCCCTCTGGCACAACCGTATTTTCTCAGTGTTGTTTTGGCAAACTGTCAATTCTATTGTGTGAAGGTCCGCTTAGCAAGACCTAATTAAGAATCCCTTGCAAATGGAACGAAACAGCTGTATCGGCGTCCTAGGGCTGAAGTTTCTCGGAAGATATTCCTCAAAAGCTGTTTTGGCTGATACCTCTTGTGCAAGAGCTTGCAACAAATATTCCTCTAACCTGGGAAATGATGACAAAACAGTGCAACCGATCGACGCAATGAAAATGATTTCGCAGTGTAAATCCTACTCGTTTGTATGGATGGATTAACAATTTATACCTTCAAAAGCGAATACCTGCACGTTTAGAGCTATTTGCATAATAATTCCCGAATTAACCGGTGTCGTCTAGCTAAGCATTGACTGAGGTTTTGTGCTATTATAGGTAGGTCTGGGAAGTTAGTAAAGTAATTAATCTCTTTTTCCGCCGACAGTCCTTCAACCGTACATACCAGTATCAACCCACGCAAAATTGTAATTCACGACAACTCGGAGCTAAGATACAACAATGCACAATAAATTGTGATCTTTCATCTACATTCGGTCAAGTCATTTCAATAGGACTTAGTTGTTATTGTTTCTTTACAAAAGGTTCCTTCTAGAAAGTCTTAAATGCAGTTCAGTGTTTTAAAATCAATCAATATTCGAGTGGGCTAAATATTTTGCCCTTTCCCCTAGCAACTCTCGGGATTTTCCGTGTAAACAGTCCTTAAGGGTTACGACTTGAACCTTGTACATATTTCCGTTTAAGCTGCTAGTTCCTTACAATATTTGTTTACTTTTCTGTTGCTGAGATTTCAACCGATGTTCCGCCTAAATAAGCAAACACCACTTGCCCTTTCTTTGAAAGCAACTATAGGAATCCGTTGATTGCATTTATTTACATTTGGACCATGGATTGTTCTGCCCACAAGATTAATTAGCCGGCGGTACGTTTTGTAGTCCTTAAGTCTTTTTTAGACATTGAAAAGTGACTTAAACATCAAAAGGAAAATGGAGGACCTTGAAAGCAAATTCTTCTGGGATTACATCAAAGTATTTATGACGCATTGACACTGAAGCTTCAATACTTCATTGTATTATTTTTCAGTAGACCTCTTTACACCAAGAAACAATAAAAGAATGTGAAAGAACAAACTCTGATGAAATATCGTTAAGCTTATTTTCGGTGAACGTGACTTATATACTCCCCCAATTGACGGAAAATAAATTGCGTATTTGATTGCCTGGCGTTACATTCATTACTTTTTGGGTGTGACAATGATTTAAATTGATTTTATTTGTGGTTGAAACAGTGAGAGAAATCGCATTAAGGGCGCCATCAAGATTGTATTTTTCTGTTATATGCACGCAAGTAGAATTTCGATTAAAAGCACATGACTTATGTTATTTACAGTTGAGCTTTTCGTTGTCGGCGAGTTCTTTATTTGCATGTAGAAGTTAACCACGGGCAAAACGACTGTTCCTTCAAAAGTCTAAATAAGTCAGTTTATTAAAAAAAAATGAAGGGGTGGTTTCCCCTGGAGAGAAACCGTAAGAAATTTGTTTAAACAATACAGTTAGCTCATAGAAATACATATTGGGTTGACTTTTAAAATAGGAGGAAATAATACACGCCAGCAAAATAAAGCTATCATAGTGGCGGAGTGGTTGTCTGAGTCTTCGCTGTAGGCAGACGGCTTCTTTCCGAGCAGGAAGGAAGTTGGACATGTGTGCATCGCACAGTTCATCCTAGCATTAAAAAGCAAAGAACGAATCTGTCCGGGCTGATTTTTGTTTGTTTCGTAGGGTTTTATCATCAGGTATCCTCTAACAAACAGATATTTGTAAAAACTCTTTTTCCTTGGCCATCGTAGCTTTAGAAGAAACAAAACACAAACCGCGGTGATAAACATGGAACCAAAACGCATGTTAAACAAAGTTAATTTCCTTGACGTTTCGTATGTACAACATACATCTTCAGAAGTGACCGTTAACTAGATTACAATCGAAATTTAAACGCGAACAAAAAGAAAAAGACTGGTATCTAATAATATGTAACAAGACTAATAGTAACAAACAGATGAGTCTGCGGTAGAGAAAAAAAAAAAATTACCATAATAATAATAACAATACAAAATGCTAGTAAAGAAAAAGTTTTCCACTGCCAACGTTTCCATTCAAGGCTGGCTTTAAATCACGAATTAACAATGTTTCCTTAATATTACAATGTATATCTGACCTACCAGTAGCTAAGATATCAAAATTGTCCCATTTAATATTATGACCCGTGGAAGTAACGTGATCCGCAATGGCTGAGGTGACCGCTTTTAGCAAGGGCCTTAAAATGTTCAGTTTTTCTATCGTGTAGTCGACGCTACATATTTAGAAAGCTAACATTCTATTCGCTGCTTCACTTTACCCCTTTTATTGATATCACGAGTGCTGCTTGGTTTCAGAGAACTCCATTTAATGTGTGTTACATGTAATTACAAACAGATAGAACCAGTAATTTTCAAAAAATTGTTCTGAACATTGCCAAGTTGTGAGTTTAGAATGGCTTAAGTTCAGCCGATGTTGTACAGTGTTGTTGGATATGAAAGACCATGGTTTGTGTCCCGACTAGACATTAGACGGCTCCGAGTTCCTGGAGCCAAGAGAGGTGAAAGGGACGAGAGTTACCTCTCTTGACAAATCGTAACACCCTTTGATGGAACAAGTATTTTCCAGCAAACGGTAAAAATCTCCCAGGAAGTCCGAAAACCCATCTTTCCTAGGCTGAAATAACAACCCTGCAACGTGATCACTTGAGCAGAGCGCCCTAATTCTAAGGCACAATAAACATGAGACTGGGTCTAGGTTTACAGTAGAGGAAATTGTTCCGGATTCGTGAAGAATCCGTGTAGAACGTTTTAGTCCCGGTTGGGAGAAGGGGGGGGGGGGGGGGGGGGGGG